CTCACTGCAGCCTTGACCTTCCACACTCAAGTGGTCCTCCCATCTCAGCCTCCTGAGCAGCTGCAACTACAGGCGCTTGCCACCATACCTGGCTAATTTTTTTTTTTTTGTAGAGACAGGATTTTGCCATGTTGCCCATGCTGGTCTCAAACTCCTGGACTCAAGTAAGCCTCACACCTTGGCCTTCCAAAGTGTTAGGATTACAGGTGTGAACCACTGCCTCTGGCTTATCATCGATTTTAAATAATTTTGGCCAGGTGCAGTGGCCCATACCTATAATCCCGGCACTTTCAGAGGCCAAAGCAGGTGAGTCAGTTAATCCCAGGAGTTTGAGACCAGCCTGGACAACATGGCAAAACCCTGTCTCTACAAAAAAATACAAAAATTAGCCTGGTGTGATGGCAGGTACCTGTAGTTGCAGCTGCTCAGGAGGCTGAGGTGGGAGGACCGCTTGAAGCCTGGAAGGTCAAAGCTGCAGTGAGCTATGATCACGTTGGGGGAATGTGTTCTCTTCCCAGGTCCATGAAGGGGCGTAGTTTTAAGGGCAAGAATTTCCCAGTGCCATGCCCCGCTCCCATCTCTCTCCATCCAGGATATTTAACAGTTTATGTTTGAATCTTGTGGGCTTGGGAAGAAACTAAAAGTTAGTCACCCCAGCGGAATTTTAAAGGAACTCCTTTCATTGGCAAGAGGAACTTGGGAAGGTGGGAATTTCTCCCAGAATAAATTCCACTGCTCCTTCACCCACACTGGATTTCCATCTCTCTGGAATCCCCTCCCACATGGTGAGAGCTCCCTTCTCCTCTAGGATTTCCCCTCTGGAATCCCCTTCCACACTCTTCATGGAAGTCTTTCTTTTCTCTGCCTAAATAAAATCACCTTTCTGCAACACTTCTTGGGTCCGATATTTACATTTACGAGCATACGGTGTACCTGCAGTGGTCCCATCACTGATTCTTTAAGAGATTGGAGACCAAGAACCCACAGCATTCTCTCAGGGGAGCTGTGCCTCACCAGCACCCAAGAAAAAACCTGGTTACAACGTCACTGTACTCCAGCCTGGGTGACAGAACAAGACTCTGTCTCAAAAAAAAAAAGTAAATAAATCATTTTATTATGATATGTCTTATAGTTTTCCTTTATGTTTCTTGTACTATGGTTCTCTGAGTTTCTTGATATTTTGATGTAATTTTGAAAATTATCATTTATTATATTTTCAAAATCCACCCTTTCCTTTATTTTGAGGGCTTCATTTCCACATATTTAGGCCCCTCAGTTTTTCATTTTGGGTCTTATCTGAGACTGTGCCTTCAATTTCACAAAGCTTTTCTCTTTAGTCTCTGAGCTCTTATTCCCATGTAGGGTGTTTTTTTTTTTTTAAATAAATAATTTTAACAAATCTTTGTAGGTTTGGTATGGATCTTTTTATATTTTGTATGTCTTTGCTTAACAGGCTCCTGCTTTCCTGCACCTTCTTGAACACATGGAATATAGTTATAATGAGTAGGTTTAATGTCTCTACCAATTTCATCATATGTCATTTCTGGGTTGGTTTAGACTTTTTGATTTTTTAAAATTTTTTACTTTTTTGAGACAAAGTCTCACTCTGTCACTGAGGCTGCAGTGCAGTGGTGTGATCTCAGCTCACTGCAACCTCCGCCTCCTGTGTTCAAGCGATTCTCCTGCCTCAGCCTCCTAAGTAGCTGGGATTACAGGTGTGATCCACCACACCTGGCTAATTTTTGTATTTTTTGTAGAGACCAGGTTTCACCATGTTGGCCAGGCTGGTCTCAAATTCTTGACCTCAGGCTTGTCTCAAACTCCTGACCTAAGGTGATCCACCCATCCCAGCCTCAGTGCTGGGATCACAGATGTGAGCCACTGCGCCTGGATGATTTTTTTTTTTCTAATTATGGGTCATGTTTTTCTGCTTCTTTGCATACCTGGTAATATTTAATTGGATACTAGCAGTGTAGAATTTACCTTGTTATGTACTGGATATTTTTAATTCCTGTATATATTTTTGATTTTGTTCTGGGACACTTACTTGTTGTGGTTTGATGTTCTTGAACAGGAGTTAGCAAACTACTACCTGTGGCCAGCTCTGGTCCTGCCTATTCACTTGGCTGTGTTTGCTTTTCCGGTATCACTACAGAATAGTTGTGACTGAGAGACTTTATGACCCGCTCAAGCTTAAAATATTTATTCTCTGATCATTTACAAAAAAAGTTTGCTGACCCTGCTTTTGAAGGTGTGTCTTTAAGCTTTTTTGGCAGGATGGAGCAACCTTTCTTGGTTCTAGGGCTAATTCTTCCTCCCTACTGAGGCAGCGCTCTTCTGAGTACTTGAGTACTTGCGTATTGTGAGGTATTCCCACTCTGGCTTGTTGGGAGACAAACCATTCTGGGCCTGTGTGTGTTGATGATTTCACCTGCTCCTGGCCACTGGCTCTTTGCCTTGTCTTGGGGAGTTTCTGCGCATGCACGTGCTGCTCAGTACTCAGCCGAAGACTCAGTGGAATCGGCAGCTGGTCTTGGAGCATTTTCTCTCTCTCTCTCTCTCAGTGTACAGCTTTCTGCTCTCCTGTCCTCTCTGTTTATTCCCCAGTACTCTTCCTGTGAATTCTAGCCACCGCGCCTCCTGGAGTTCTCGGCTCTGTCTCATCAGTTCCTTGGGAATTTCGGTTTCCCATTCTTGTGCTGCCAACTCTCCACAGGCAGGAAACAGGGCAGCTGTACCACTCACCTCTCTATTCCCTTCCCTCAGCATTCACTGTTTTGGGCTGCTAGCTGTCTAATACCTTAAAACTGCTGTTTCATATACTTTGTCTTTTTAAAACTTCTTTTGGAAGGCCAGAATGGTAAATCTGGTCTCTGTTGCTCCATCATAGCTGGCTGTGGAAGCTATCAACATTTTTTTCTTTAAGAGACAGAGCCTCACTCTGTTGCCTCGGCTGGAGTGTGGTGGCATAATCATAGCTCACTGTAGCCTAGAACTCCTGGCTTCAAGTGATCCTCCTGCCTCTGTCTCCTAAGTAGCTGGGACTACAGTCATGTACCACAATGCCTGACTAATTTTTACAATTGTTTGTAGAGATGAGGTCTCACTATGTTGCCCAGACTGGCCTTGAGCTAATCCTCCTGCTTTGGGCTACCAAAGCACTGGGATTTCAGGTGTGAGCCACTATCCCTGGCCTGTTCAACGTTGTTAGCACTTAGTGATGAAAGGTAATAGTAGTAAATTAAATGTTTCTATTCCCAAAGAGTATTTACTGGTTCTTTCACTTGCATTTCATGTCATAGGGCCCTTTCTTCTACTGACATTCTCACATTGAATTACTAAGAAGTTTCTCTTAATATCCCTCTATCTCCTTTTTCTTTCTAGTTATAGATAAAGCTGTCAAAAAATCAGTTATAGGAATAGAAACATTTAAATTACTGGCACGATAGCTTATTTCTTGCTGCAGCCATTCAGAATATCTATTTGTCACTGCCTTGGGTGCTTTGAAGTGAAACTGTGCATAGATACACAAAAGTTTACAACTCACTTTGATTACATGTCAGTTTCAGAGTTTTTACACTGTGGTTCCTGAATTTAGTTCCATCAAAACTGTTATGACTAGGCCAGGTGTAGTGGCTCATGCCTGTAATCCCAGAACATTGGGAAGCCAAGGCAAGTGGATCACCTGAGGTCAGGAGTTTGAGACCAGCCCGGCAAACATAGTGAAAACCTATCTGCTAAAAATACAAAAATTTGCTGGATATGGTGGCACATGCCTGTAGTCCCAGCTACTCAGGAGCCTCAGGCAGGGAAATTGGTTGAACTTGGAAGGTGGAGGTCGCAGTGAGACGAGATCACGCCATTGTACTCTAGCCTGGGTGACAGAACAACACTCCTTCTCAAAAAAAAAAAAAAAAAAAAGATATGACTCTTCCCAAAGTGTAAGGATCATTTAGTGCACTGTTTAACCTGCTTGGTTTTAGACATTTCTGACTCTCATGGTCCTTAATAATACTACTTCTTTTTCTTTTTTTCTTTTATTTTGTTTTTTTGAGATGGAGTCTTACTCTGTCGCCCAGGCTGGAGTGCAGTGCTGCGATCTCTGCTCACTGCAACCTCTGCCTCCTGGGCTCAAGTGAGTCTCCTGCCTCGCCTCCCTACTAGCTGGCATTACAGGCATGCGCTACCATGCCTAGCTGCTTTTCATATTTTTAGTAGAGATGGGTTTTCACCATGTGGTTTTCTTTTGTTTTCTTACTCTGATTTCATAACTGGCATCACATATACAAAACCAGCAGTTTTAAAAACATACTGACCATGATTATTTTCTCTCTTCAATAATCTCTAATAAAATTAAAAAAGAAAAAAAAAGAAATGGTGACTTTGAAATCAGATATAAGGGTGAGTTGAAAGAAAGCAAATGGGCTATTCAGTGTAGTCTTTTTAAGACTTTGAATATTGTCTTGCTGTTTTGGAGGTGAGCTTATAACTCCATCAGTACTGTTAAGAACAGAGGTGCTTTGAGAAACATCTTTTCTTTAAGGAGGTAATTTTTCTTGCTAAGTATGTCATAAGAACTTGAAGAATGATCTTAATTTCTCATTTTAAAACGACTGTTGAGTGAGCCAGACTGTTTAACAGATCAAAGTTAGAACATGTGGATTTGTCAATACATTTCAACTTGATAGTAGTTGTCATTACTACTAAGTTGTTTGAATAATATATTATATTCACATTTTAAATGGATATTGATCTTCATTCAGTGACTAAATTGGAGCATCTCAATTCTTAAGAAATTGCTGAGCCTTTTCTTCTTTGTAGGTGTGCAGTCAGACATAAATCCTAGCCAACATTCCACAGATTTATTCCTACCTTTCTCCTTTACGCAATACTCTTTAGGAAGTAAGAATACTTTTTGGATGCTAAAAATAGCAAAATAAGTTGTGTTTACAACAATAAACTTCAAATGTATTTCTTTGTGTTTTATTTTTGTCTTGAAGGTACTTGAAGTTTATTGAGTTGCCCTTGACTCAGAGAAAGTTTTGTCAAAGATGTCAGCAGTTGCTGTTACCAGATGACTGGGGACAACATAGTGAGCATCAGGTTCTGGGTGATGTTTCTGTCACACAGTTAAGAAAGCCCAGTCAACTCCTTTATCCACTGGAAAACAAGAAGACAAATGCCCAGTATCTGTTTGCTGACAGGAGCTGTCAGTTCTTGGTAGACTTACTTTCTACCCTCGAATTCAGAAGAGTGCTATGTGTTGGAACACCAAGGTATGTTATATGAATTTTTAAAGAATTGTCTTCTCACCATTATTCAAACTGTACGAAGATTTTATTTAGTAGTTATTTACCCTGTACAAGGTATAGCATGAAGCTTGGAGTATTTAAAATGTGAAGCAGAGTCCCTCTCTAAAGGAGTTTGCAACCTGTATTCCATTTGAGAAAATTCTTCATAGATTCCTCTCTGGTACTTGAGAGAAGATTCTTTCTGATTGAACTCCCAAATTGTATATAATTTTAGACCTCTCTGTTTCAGATAAGTTCTGCTCTTAAAAAAGATTTGCAAAAGTGAAACCTTGATTATACCTGCCAAATTCTCTTCAGTGTCTCATTGAAATATCACAAATACAAGAGGAACGTTGATGGTTTTGTTGTTTGTTTATTGTCTGTGACATTTGTGATTTCTTATTACGTTTGCTTTCACTAATTGCTTTAGGTTGCATGAGCTGATCAGGTTGACAGCATCAGCTGACAAGAACTCTAACATTAAAAGCCTTTTATTGGATATTGATTTTCGGTAGGTTAAAAAATATGGTATTTATTTGCTTTCATTGTCTCCTGTTTTTTTTTTTTTTAATGCTTTTCTGTTTTTAATTGTTTATACTCCATTACAACTCTTTAGTTTACATTTAAAAATAGTAATTTGTTAGGAGGAAACTTTTTAGTTCTGTAAACTCACCATGTAATCTGTATTTCAAACAGGGAGGCAGTTGATTTCTCCTTTTGCTAATGTGCTTCCTCGATTTTCTCTATGAATATGTCTAGTTTGTCTTTGGCTTATGATCTACAGATGAATTCCCATTGAGTCAAGTTTCTTCTCATATATTACGTTCAAAGATAATTCCGAACTGCCTCATACTTAATCAGACTTCCAGGATTTTGTCTCATCAGATCTTTGAAGTGTGAGAACTCAGACATTTCTTTTAGTATATTTTACTGGATGTTGTACATATTGTCTTTCACTGAACATAGCCTGCAGTGAAGGGAGTGCTGAGTAGGGGATAGACAGGTCCAAAGCAGAGGATTAGCCGACAGATAGACTTTGTGGGCAAGGGTTGGAATTAAATGGCATCTGATGTATTGGGACAACGGATGACACAGAGGGAGGAACACATCTTGAATCTCCCCTCTGGTGGTAATTTTGAAGGAACAGACCTTTAACTTATAACATGGTTGGTAAATACATCCATCCACCGTGTCATCCAGAATTAAAGCAACAGCTATAATTCTGTTGCTTTGAAGTACTCTTTGCAGTTTCTGTAATTGTTTAATACCAGGAGTTCATGTTGAATTTCAGATGCTTTGTTCTTAGTATTCTTGATGTGTTCTTGAAGGTATTGAAGGAATCAGCCATTGTGTTTCCTTTTATTTAGATCTACTTCCTAAAAACAAAGCAGACAGATTTTTTTTTTTGCCTTAGACAGGGTCTCGCTCTGTCACCCAGGCTGGAGTGCAGTGGCATGGTCGTAGCCCATACCCTTGAACTCCTGGGCTCAAGTGATCCTCTAGCCCCAGTCTCCCTAGTAACTAGGACTATAGGCTAGCACTACCGCACTCAGGTAATTTTTAAAAAAAATTTGGGGTCTGAAACTCCTGTCCTCAAGCAGTCCTCCTGCCTTGGCTTCCCAAAGTGTTGGGATTACAAGCATGAGCCACTGAGTACCAAGCAAATTTTTAGTGTAAAGTGTCACTTTAAAAAGTGTAGACTGGGCTGGGCGCGGTGGCTCACGCCTGTAATCCCAGCACTTTGGGAGTCCAAGGTGGGTGGATCACAAGGTCAAGAGATCGAGACCATCCTGGTCAACAAGGTGAAACCCTGTCTCTACTAAAAATACAAAAAATTAGCTTGGCACGGTGGCGCGTGCCTGTAATCCCAGCTACTCAGGAGGCTGAGGCAGGAGAATTGCCTGAACCCAGGAAGCGGAGGTTGCGGTGAGCCGAGATCGCGTCATTGCACTGCAGCCTGGGTAACAAGGGCGAAACTTTGTATCAAAATAAAATAAAATAAAATAAAGTGTAGACTGGGTCAGATATGGTGGCTCATGCTTGTAATCCCACCACTTTGGGAGGTCAGGAGTGTGAGACCAGCCTGGCCAACATGGTAAAACCCCATCCCTACTAAAAAATACAAAAAAAAAAATTAGCTAGGCATAGTGGCTCATGCCTGTAATCCCACCTACTCTAGTGGCTGAGGCAGGAGAATTGCTTGAACCCAAGAAGTGGAGGTTTCAGTGAGCCGAATTCGAGCCACTTCACTCCATCCTGGGTGACGGAGCAAGACTCAGTTTCAAAAAATACTACTGCTACTAATAAAAGTGTAGCCTGGCCAGGTACAGTTGTGGGTAACCCCCCATATAGGCACCGAGGAATGAGAGCTAAGCAGAACCTTGGCACAGTTAGGGCTTGAGGAATACCTCACTTTATAGTGTTACTACTGAGCAATTTCCTTTTATATAATCCTTTATATAATCATATATTAGTTTATAGAATTAGGGCTTGAAGAATCCCTATATATAATCATATAATAGTTGATAGTATGAGTGCCTAAAGAATATTTCCCTACAAATATATAATTATATCGTAGTTGATAATCGGAGGAATGCCTAGAGTGGACACCGTACAGAGCGTGAATTAAGGAATAAGCAGCTTATAATTGGAGGAATGTCTAGAGCAGACACAGTGCAGGGCATGATTTAAGGGAAAACAGTTATACCAGGACAAGAATCCATGGCCCAGGCAGCAGCGTTCAGTATCGTAAAGATACCCGCTGTATGGCAGGGTTGGGGCAAGAGCCACTCCTCCTGATAAAGGAGTTGTAGGACCTTGCTCCAGTTCTTGTGGAAGCCTGCCCTCAGACCGGCAATCCACCTTGGTGACTCTGAATTTCATCAGCTCTTGTTACTGTGCTGCTCGAAAAGCATCTTCCCATAGAACTCATTGGAAGCTGCCAGAGGGTGGCGGTAACCTTGACAGATCTTCACTGCTGTGTGACTTAAAGCATCCTCCTATACATCTTCTTAGAAGTAGTTTGCCCACAGATAGAAGTATTGCACACTGCACTCTCTTCACTACGCACGGCCCACCTTCAAGCCTCGGTGACCTAATGGGGGTGGACTCCTTACTGCACACGGCCCTTGCCTTCATGGGAATGGGCCCCTGGCTGTGCACTGTCCACCTCCTGGCCTAGGTGAATTAATGGGGGTGGACCCCATGTTTTATTGCTCACGACGCTATCACTATCCTTAAAGATGATTTCACTCACTGCCCTGCCCCCTAACCTATACAAAATAAATACTGATGCTTCTGGATTCTGGACATTCGGGGCCTCACCTGACTCCGCTTATAGGTGGCGTGGCCCCCTGAGCCCAGCTGCATTTTCCTTGTACTTCTGTGTCCTGTTTCTTTATTTCTCAGATCCTGCGCCTCAGCACAGCATAAGGCACACCCCACAACCCTGAGGGGCCTTCAGCCCTACAACAGTGGTTCATGCCTGTAATCCCAACACTTTGGGAGGCTGAGGCAGGTTGATCACTAGAGTCCAGGAGTTCAAAACTAGCCTGGGCAATGTGGTGAAACCCCATTGCTACTAAAAATACAAATATTAGCTGGGTGTGGTGGTACGCGCCTGTAGTCCCAGCTATTCTGGAGGCTGAGGTGGGAGGATTGCTTGAGCCCAGGAGGTGGAGGTTGCGGTCAGCTGAGATTGCACCACTGCACTCAGCCTGGGCAACCAAGTGTGACCCCTTTCTCAAAAAAATAAAATAATAAAACAAACACAATAAAAAGTGTAGCTTTAATAATTTATTTTTCTTTAGATTTCTGAGTCAACTCTGAGTTGTGTAACATACACAAGCACATTACTCAGAAATTACCTACACTCTCTCATTCCTTATGAACAGTTCTGGCCTGTTAACACTCATCCCTTGTTAACAGGACTAGCACACTTCACTAACATCTGCTTAACACGAGTGATCCTTAAATGATGATACAGACTTCTTAAAGATAAACTCAGTTTATTTTTAATTGGATATAATTTATTTAATAGTCACCATTTAAAAGTATATATTTCAGTTGTTTTTGTTGTAATCATGTAGCCATCACCACGAGGTACTCCTAGAATATTTCCATGACCCTGAAAAGAAAGCTAGAGTTCATTTCTCCTGATAAGCACTTTCTGTCGCTCTTTTCTGGATTTGTCTGTTCTGCACATTTGATATAAATAGAATCATAAAATCTGTGACCTTTGTGGCTGGCTTCTGTCATTTAGCATAATGTTTTCAGGGTTCACCCATGTGATAGCATGTAGTGGTACTTCATTCCTCTTATGGCTATATGATATTCCATTGTATGGATATGCATGGAGATAGCAACTTGTTTTTTTAAATTCTGTATTCCTTTCCTAAAGTATTAAATTATTCTAAATGCATTATTTTAAAGGTAGAAGTTTAACTTTTGGGTTCTTATAACGTATTATTAATAGCTGGTATGTTTTGTTTGTTTGATTGAGAGGGAGTCTCGCTCTGTCGCCCAGGCTGGAGTGCAGTGGTTGCAGTCTCAGCTCACTGCAACCTCTGCCTCCTGAACTCAAGTGATTCTCCTGCCTCGGCCTCCCCAGTGCTGGGATTACAGGCATGTGTTGCCGTGCCCAGCTAATTTTTCAACTTTTAGTAGAGAGGGGGCTTCACCATGTTGGCCAGGCTGATCTCGAACTCCTGACCTCAAGTGATGTGCCTGCCTCGGCCTCTGAAATTGCTGGGATTATAGGCGTGAGCCACTGTGCCTGGTATGGCTGGTATTTTTTGAGTGCCTGTCATATTTCAGGACTTGCCCTGACTCATTCCTCACATTAGCCTGTAAGATAGATGTTATCATTATCCTTGTTTTTCCAGATGAGAAAACTGAGGCACAAAGAGGTTAAATAACTTGATCAAAATCATAGTTTATAAGTGGCCAAGCCAGAATTCAAGCCAAGGCAGGCTGGCTCCAAAAACTAAGCTATCCATTGGAAATAACTTAGCTTCTGAACTTGTATATGCCTTTCTCATCTAGGCAGTTTTTTTCTTGTCATCCTTCCATCTCTCCCTTTTTCCCTGTATCCTCCTACCTTGTTCCACAAAGATTTTCAGATGAATCAAAACTGGTTTCTAGGTCATTTATATATTTAGAATTAGGCACTCAGGAATTTTTTTCTTGGAGACCTGGAAATCCAGTCACGTAAAAGAGAATTTATCGGTTCACATTACTGAGCACTGGGATATAGCAGGCTTTAGTCTCGTTGAGATAGTGAGCCTCACACAGTGTTGCCAGGGCTTCCTCCTTCTCTGCCTCTCATTCTCTCTTTCCCTGTATATTGGTTTCATTCTGCAGACAGCTTCCTTCCTACCGCCAGGGACATTGGTGACAGCAGCTTTAAGCTTATCTAGTCTCGGCTTAATGGCCCAGTGGAAAGAGGCAGTTCTTCCTGAGAGCTCCAGTGGCAAAACTCCGGAGAGTGTTCTGATTAGCCTGACTGGGGTC